TATAATGGAGTAACTGATACTTGTATTTATTTCATGAAATCAATTCCTGACCTGAATGTTGTATAATGCAATAAGATACATTGTATCTTAATACAATGTATGTTATCTTTCTCATACATTGTATCTTATTTTATTCAAAAAATCTTATGCTACATAATATGCTATAATTTGTGATAGATTTTATTTGATTCAGAAATTTGTGATACAATTTGTCAATATACATTATATATTATTTGATTCAGAAATGCTTATGCTGCGTTAGATACATTGTATTATGTATATCATAATACAACATAAGATATTATACTTGTATAACTGTATCTGTATATTTGAATAATCAAATATTTTTTATTTGTAAAAATAAAATTATCAATTACTGCGTTTAAAACCAATAAAATGCAATATTTGAATGTTTTTATGCTTCTCAGGACTAAATAAAAAACGACATTACTTTGATTCATAACTTGGTAATTGATACTTTTATTTATTTCATACATTCAATTATTGCGTTGCTATGGTGTATAACATAGTATTTGATACTTGTATCTATTTCAAACAATCAATTATTACATTACATTGCATTAATTTGTTTTAAAACATAGCAATTTATAATTGTATTTATTTCAGTAATTAATTAGTTTTTATAGGATATAGTATCAAATAATTGTAAATCAAACCAAAATTCTCAATTACTATGTTGCATTGGTTATAAACGCAAAATTGAGAATTTTTTTCAAACAATCAAATATTGCGTTGGATTATTTTTATAACACAATAATTGATATTGATATTTATTTAAAAAATCATATATTACTACATGGATTTCTTTCATAACATAATAATTGATTATTGTCATTGCTTTAAGACAATAAATTATTGTATTGCATAGTTATATAACGTAATATTTGATAAATATAATTATTTAAAAACATTTAATTATTGGGTTGTCTAGTTGTATAACACAATAATTGATCATTATAATTATTTTTTAAAACAATCTAATTAATGTGTTGCTTTGTTTTGTAATGCAGTAATTGATAATTGACATTACATTATTTTTTGTTGAAAAATTGTTGTATTCATTATGCAAAAAAAGATATTATAATAAAAATATAAAAATAAATAATCTTACATTTCCTCCAACCAAACACAAAAATTTTAAAATAAAATTTCATGAAAAATCACATTTTCCTCAAATTTATATTTTTTCAAGTATCATAATTTTTTTTTTAAATTTAAAATTTTACGAATCAAATACCCTCCAAAAAATAATCTATAGATATTTCGAGGTGCTATCCAAATGCACTTACACTAACCTCAACAAAAAAAAAAAAAAAAAAAAAGCTTAGATTTCATCGTACCATACCCTAGCTCAGCCCTCACTCAGCCCATGAACAAACAAGTATAGCTAGTTTGTATTGCCAAAATTTTTGTTCTGTTTATAAAATGAGATTAAAATGGAAGAACTTTCACAGTTGCTATTCAGCGGATGACAATTTTTTATTTCTTTTTTATTTCAATTTGTCAGCATACAATTCAAACTCTACATTTTCCATATGCTAACAAACATTATCAAACAATATGTGTCACGTTTGCTTAAACAAAAGAAAATTGCATTCCTTTTTAATAAAAAAGAAGTTTGAAAACACAATTTCCAAACAAAACATAACATTTTTCAAAACCCTTTTCTAACCAACCCACTTCTTTCCTTTAAGTTAACCATTTTTCTTGCTTATGTGCGACTTCAGTGCCATAAGAGGGGAAAAATAAATAAGGAAGAAATTTTCAATGAACAGTCAAAAAAATATAATACAGATAATAATGTGAGCAGTCACCACCACTTTGAAAGTCAACAAAACATAAAAACTAGTGGGATACGTGGGCAATCCACCTTCTTTGCCAGTGCCGTTCGCCGCCGGCATTAATGCAAGTAGGGTTTGCTTTTCGCTTGTGGGTGATCTAGAAGGCATTAATTATTTAATTAATTGATGCTTTTCAATTGATGAAAAATTGCACAGAAATTTCTCAGCTTCTTCTTTTATCACCCCTAAATAAAAACAGAATTTGGTTAATAAGTGTTTAGGGCACGTTTAGTGATAATAATGCATGCAAAAAAATTTTTAAATAGTATTTTAATTATCCTTAAATAATGTTTATAGAACGGACCATTGTTTTTATTAGTCATAAAATTTTATTTTTTTTAATACATTCGAATTCATAATATTAACTGTTAATTATCATATTAAATAAAAAAAATATTACCATAAATAATATTTTAATTAACCTTTAAAATATTCTCATAACATTCATTAACAAAATTCATATAAATAAGAGCTATTGACTCAATATCCACTCAAATATAGGAGCATTTGTTTTGATTAAAAGTATTAGTCAATAGTGTAAAATATTTTATGAAAACTAAATTCGGATCTTTAATAGGGAATTTTTTATGTAAGCATCAAATTATTAAAAATAAGATAGTTTATAATCAAATTAACAATAAAAAAATGTTAAAAATTACCAATTAAAAATTGTTGAAATAATATTCATTACCAAATAAAAAAAAGTTTAATTAATTTATTAATTTTTATTAGAAAAACAAAAAAAAATACATAGAAAATATTATCAAAATCACCATATCAATTAAATATATATATTATTAAAAAAAAAAGAGAAAAAGTATATTGAGGTTAAAAATTGAAAGCATAACAATCTACACCTATGTTAAAGTTATCCCCATCCAAGCATATTAAGTTATTTGTGAAATTGAAACATGATTTAAAACAAGTCTGTGGTAACATTAATTATGATTTCAAAATTAATTAAAGAATTGAGTGATATATTTTAGGGTTGATTTAGACTTTTACATCATAATTTTGAAGTTAATCATGTAACTGTGTAAGGGCGACTCAATTGTTGAGTTGCCCATTGGTTGGCACATAGAAATCCCTTTTTTTTTTTTTTGGTATTTTTTGTCATTTTATTTTAGGTTTATTTTATTTTGCTTCTAGGTTTATTTTGTTTTGTTTTATGTATTTTTTATTTTTTATTTATTGATTTGGTTAATTGTTTGTTTATTTTTTATTTACATATTTAAAATTTTAGATTATGAATATATTTTAATTATTTAACAACATAAAAACTAAAAATATGAATTAAACAAATAAATTTATATATTTTTTATAATCTAACTATTACTTTAGTTCTAGGAAAAATGAGCTAACACTTGGTCAATTAAGGTACTTACTTGAATAACATGTGTCTTTAATTGTGAGATTTAATTGAATTGATCGAGTTATAATTCGTAAATTATAGAGTTTGCAGTAAATTAGTTCATGGATACTATTTACTAATAGTTTTATTTTTATTTTAAATTACATGAATTTAATTATTTATAAACTTAGAATTATAGAGGCATACACTAAAATCTTGAGATTTTAAATTGAGTAGATTTAAAATTGAATATATAAAATATAAGTTTAGTAATTATAAAGAAGTAAGTGTTAGTAAGATTAAGTTGGACGGTGAAGTAGTATTAAAAAGTAATCATTTTCAATATTTAGGATAAATTATTCAGAGTGATATTGAAATAAAAAATGATGTAAATCATAAAATTCAAGTATGATAAGTGAGATAACAAAATGCATTTGATGTATTGTGTAATCGTAACATGCATTTAAAGTTAAAAGCAAAGTTGTGTAAAATAATTGTAAGACTTGTATCGTATAAAACTGAGGGCGTTAAAAAACATGAGAAGAAAATGAGCATAGCTGAGACGAAGATACTTAAATAGATGTGTAGTAAGATTAGAAAAAATAAAATAAAAAATGAAGACAATTAAGAAAAATTAAAAATATTCTAAATTGAAAAAAAAAGATGAGAGAGGATCGCTTGGGATGATTTAGACATATGAAACATAAACTTTACTATGCACCAATTATAAAAAATGAGCTTCTCAATTTAAGAAAAATCAAAACTTCAAAAAATAGATCACGAAAGACATGCATGCAAATAACAAAAAATTATATGAAGGTTAAGACAATATATGAAAATGTTGTTTTTTATAGTAATGAGTGACGCATCAAAATTAAGACTTAACATGATTTTTTTTTTTTATATTTCATACAGTCAATCATAAAATTATGAGATATAAAACTTAGTTTAAATTCCTAGTATTCATGAAACCTATTAATTTTAGATAAATATATTTCGTACTTAGTATCATTTAAATTTAGTATTTTAAGTCTAAAGTCATATCTACTATTGAATAATATAAATAACATGAATTAGACCCAAAGTTACATGATCTAACTATTTATAAAATTTAGCCATTCATAAATCTATAATATCCATGAATTCAATTAATCGTGATAAATGTACTTCTTAATTAGTGTAATTTAAGTTTAACATATATAAATACCCAGTAATCTAATTCATATTGTTATATTTTAGTTTCAGTATAATGACCCATTAATCAATTTCAAATTATTACATTTTAATTTATTTTTTATGTTTGAATTACCAGTATAGTTATTAGTTTGTGTAATTAAAAATTAAGTTTTATTTTTTTAATTTAGCACTAGAGGGTTTCTAACTCAATACATTCCCTCTTTTAGCATATTCAAACTCAAATAATAAAAAAGAAAACACATTCTTTTTGTTACTTAAACCAATCATTAGTTAGTAATTAAATTTTAATTTTTAATTTATGCATCAATAAAATTTTAATTAAATGATTTTATTAATTTATTCACATTAGATATTATTTTGTAAGTATATCTTATTTGTTTACGAAATAAAATTATTATTACTCATTAAACAGGGTAAAATTTTTCTGGTAATAATGAAAAAGTAAAAGTCTTCTGTTTATTACAACTCATCCAAATCTCCATTTATTTCAGTTTACAGCTTGGCAATCACATGACCATTGGGTGGCACTGGCAATAGTAAATAAGAAGGCGTCAATAGTCATTTATATTTATTTATGTTCATTTTTTATTTTTCCCAATCCTTTTTGCTAGCCAAATTTATTAATTAAATTAAATTTTTATATTTGATGCCACCAGTTTTTTTTTCCTTCTTTAATTTCTTCGTCTCGCGGCTCTGTCAAAACGAAACAAAACAAACCCTCGTTTTCTTTGTTCTTTGTCACTGGCCCAAAAGGAAATAGAAAAACAAGAAAACAATTTTATTGTTTTTTTCTTTCCTTCCTCCAAACGAACCCTAAGACAAATTTAAACGAAACGGAAGAGAGCAAGATCGAGTCAGTCGTGAATGCAGAGATAAAATCGCTGTGTTGAATCGGTCGGAAGAAGATCTGAGTTCGAGTTATAGACAGAGTTAATTTTATAAATGGGCGCGGCGGGTTCGAAACTCGAGAAAGCTTTGGGCGATCAGTTCCCTGAAGGCGAACGATATTTTGGCCTTGAAAACTTTGGCAACACCTGTTATTGTAACAGCGTCTTGCAGGTTTTTTTACTCCTTTTTTTTTTCAATAACAATGCAATTTTGAATCTAATTCGAATTTTCTTTTTTTTTTTTGGTCAAAAAATTATGTTGAATTTGATAGTTTTATGTTAATTTCAATATTTTGAATTTGGTTGATTTTGAATTTCCAGCTTTGAACAATTTTTGAAAAATATTTTTCATTTATGCAAATTTATTGAGGTACATGTTTTATATTATTTTCTTTGCAAGTATTCAAGGTTTGTACTTTTTGTTTGCTGTAGCATTTCTCTGGTAATCCCTTGTTAATGGTTTTGATAGTGTTCATTTGACTCATTGATAGCAGTAGAAAGCAAGTAAATCTGGGAAAATCCTGAAGCGAATTGGTTGGATTCGATACTATCTTTTTCATGTTTAACAGTGAATATCTGTGGTAATTGGATGCCATGTTGAATTCAGGTGGCTTGCTTGTCACAATTTAGATAAAAATTAGAGATTTATATCTTAGATATGCTTGCTGAGATGATGTAGACCAGATATCAACCATGATGGATCTGAACTAAGATTAGAAAGGGAAAGCAGTCTAGGGGATGGATGTTGTTGGTAATAAAATAAATGATATCCAATTCATCATTACTATTGGGGTAATTTAGATTTTATTCTTAATGCTTATATTTAATATTTTTAATATTGCTTTTGTTCTCAGTTCATTTAAGTTGGGTGGTTGTTGTAAAGTTGAGTTTTGTTAAATATTTTTATTTGGTTATATTGGTTTATGCATGGTATGATAGCTTTTGGATTTTGAAGTTTCATGTGGCATAGATAGGTTGGCTTAGATTAACACAACATCTGAATTGTTTGAACAGTTGTTTCCAAATAAATGCAACTATAGTGTTTAAGTGCTATATACTCATTACCAGACTCTTTAGTTTCTATGACTTTTTTTTTTTTTCATTTCTGCTATGGGACTCTTGACACCTTTGCTGATACTTTATTTTATTCATCGCCTTCTAATTAATTTTCCATGATTAGAACATGTATGGTAATTTGGGAAGGAGATGGAAATCCTAATGGTCTTATGTTGACATGTTGAGTGTAGATATTTTTATTTGAAATTGGGCAACAATGCACTCTTAGCTTCAAATAATGTCTTATTTTATTTTCTCAATTTCTTTCAGGCACTTTATTTTTGTGTCCCATTTCGTGAACAGCTGCTAGATTATTATTCAAGTAACAAAAATGGCGCTGATGCTGAAGATAATCTGCTGACATGCTTGGCAGATCTGTTTACACAGGTAATAACTCCTCTAAAAGTGTAGTCTTATTGAGTTGTATTCCTCTATCTTTGATGCATAACTACTAGGTCTTTAGAGTAGATTTGTTTTTCTGCCTAAGTGGTTTTTGGTCTTATAATTATCCATGGTATTGCAATGTTTTTTTTTTGAAAAGTCAAAGCATTTCTTTTCAAATATTGTTCAGACCAAATAGCAACAGTAGTTTTTTTATTCTTTTTACCATAACAATGTGCATAAGTTGCAATGCCTTTTTCTAGTCTTGACCTTGATTTCCAAGAATGATCCACTGATTTGATTCATTTAGTAGTTTTTTGTTTTATTATTAGACATGCTAGAAGCCCATGTGCAATTAGTTAGAACTATGAAAGCCCAAGATATCATCTTCATGATGTGATGAAGATGGTTCACTTGTAACCTTTTAACAAGATGTGATCAGAAATGAAGATTACTGTTGTTGTTACATGGCTTATTACCATAAGTTCTCAACACATTTGCATGAGGATCTTGCTTCATACAAGAAAGAATGATGTATGTGCAATTTTTTAAAAATCTTTTTTAACATTAGATAAGTCATTTTTATCTGTAAATCATATTAGATTTTATGCATTTGTATGATATGCTTTATGTCCCTGTGAAAGAGTTTCTTTCTCACAATTGCTTCTCTTTTTCAGTTTCTTTCCTTTCCTTTTCTTTAATGAGTTTGCTTTGATACTTCAGTAATTGCAGATTATCATCCTTTTAGGAAATTGCTTAGATCCGCAGAAAATGTTGTCTGAGTTTTTTCTTTTTGGCCTAGTCCAACATTTCAGCTGTAGTTGGGAAGATGATGCTTAGTTTTTAGAAAATGTTATTAATGAACTAGTATAACTTTCCTCCCCACCTTCTCTCCTTTAGTTAATCGTGCCACATGTGGATTTTACTTGATCGCTACTGGGACCAACAGTTGGTTATTCATTATGTTTAGATAAGTTCACAGAAGAAGAAAACAGGTGTCATTGCTCCAAAACGCTTTGTACAGAGATTGAAGAAACAAAATGAGCTTTTCCGCAGCTATATGCATCAGGTAATGGAGTCGTTTATATTTGTTTGGCTCAAGTACCTTATTCACTTACTCAAAATTGACAATCTCTTTTTCTTGATTCAAGGTTTCAACTAGTATAAAGTTGTAGCTTTTTCCTGGCATGTCAACCAAATATTGACTTTCTTTATTATCTTTAATTGAAAATGCAGAAGAGAATAACTATTTGTATCTCTTTTTTTGGTAGGATGCTCATGAGTTCTTGAACTTTTTGCTAAATGAACTTGTTGATATACTGGAGAAAGAGGCTCAAGCAGCAAAAAATGAGGCAGAAACTTCATCACCATATGAAAAGACTGCAAATGGGACAAAGAATCCACAGGCAAATGGTGTTCAAAAAGAGCCTCTGGTTACCTGGGTACACCAAAATTTTCAGGTGAGTTTGCTGGTTATATTCCTATATTCTGATCAATCGTTCTAGCCTTGTGTTACGTTTACTTTGCTTGACATGAAATTCAGATGAAATCAAGTTATTTTCTTTGTTCAGGTTATATCTAAAACAAATCATTAGATACTATGAAACTTGAAACCTCGGTGATGTGACTAAAAATTGTAGGAATATACTAGATCTGGAAAACATCCGCGTAGAAAAATTAATCTAATCTGTGCACTAATAGACACAGAAAGTGAATTAAATGCAAGCATTACTCTCTTGAAATGCTTTGGACATCATAGCTAAACCCCTTTTACATGTCCTTATATGTAGGCTGCATCATAAATTAATATCGGTCTTTGCATTACAGCTTTTCTTTTACTCATATAATTATGATATCTCATTTATAATCCATAAGATAACAATGATGAAATGGTCACTGCCTCTGTCTTTTCCCCTTTAACAGTATATTTATTGACAATGTTTATAAAGGAATGCTAGACTTTGTTGACAATGAATGCTTTACATTATCAGTTTATTTATTGACAATATTTATTGGCAATCTTTTCCCTTCTTCTCTGAGTGCTGCTGTGTGTATGTGCGAGTGTTTCTACGTGTTTGTAATCAATTATTTTAGGAAGAATCTCATTATCTCATGGGGCAATTTGAGACAGGGAATACTTACCAATGAGACAAGATGCTTGCGATGTGAGACAGTGACAGCAAGAGACGAAACTTTCTTTGACTTGAGCCTTGACATTGAACAGAATAGCTCAATAACTAGCTGTTTGAAAAATTTTAGTTCTACTGAGACATTGAACGCTGAGGACAAGTTTTTCTGTGACAAGTGCTGCAGGTAATTTTCCTTTGTATGCGGTTTTTTTTTTTTTTTTTTTTTTGTGTCACTTGATATGTTTTACGGCTTAGGATTCAACTTGTAAAGTAGTTTACATTGACAACAAATATTTCACTTGACTCCTGTCATCCTGTGTGAGATTTTCAGACTGGCCAGCCAAGAACAAATATGTAAAATTGAGGTTTTGTCAGTAAAAGAGGTCAATTCTGGTCATGGACTTCAATCAGATATTAATTTTAGAGATAGAGGCAAAACATACATACCTCATGATTATCCTTTTCTTATAACAGTTCAAACATCAAACTTGCATGGTGCATTTAACCAGTTTGTCTTCATAAATACCTTGTAACTTGTTACAAAGCTTAAAGTATGGTATTTTGATGGTTCCGAAGTTGCATGTCATAGTCATTATAATGATAAACATGTAGAAAGGAATATCTATCGCTGATGTTTATTTACTTGTAGTTTGCAAGAAGCCCAGAAGAGAATGAAGATAAAGAAGCCTCCTCACATCCTTGTTATCCATTTGAAGCGGTTCAAGTACATTGAGCAGCTTGGCCGGTACAAGAAGCTCTCCTACCGTGTTGTGTTTCCGCTTGAGCTGAAGCTGAGCAATACCATGGAAGATGCAGATTCGGAGTATTCTCTATTCGCTGTAGTTGTTCACGTGGGAAGTGGACCTAACCACGGTCACTATGTTAGCCTGGTGAAAAGCCATAACCACTGGTTATTTTTTGATGACGAAAACGTGGAGATGATTGACGAGTCCGCAGTTCAGACATTTTTTGGGTCAGCCCAGGAGTATTCAAGTAATACAGATCACGGGTATATCTTATTTTATGAAAGCCTTGCTGCAAACAACAAGAGCTGAGAAGGGGGTTTCATTTTACCATGAGTTACAATGAGTAGGTATTCTAATCACTCAGACCTCATTCTTCTTGAAATACCTATGCTTATTAATTTTTTCGCTTCTTTTTTTTTTCTCATTTTCCAACCTTGTGGGAAGATCTGGCAGATATCAGTGAGATAATGTGGGTTGTGAGAAAAATGTATACTTAGGTTGTTGCCATGTACAGTGGATGGTACACTATCCTTTTGTTTCTTTTTTTTTTTTTTTCTTTTTTTTTTTTCACAATAAGGGGAAGAAAAGAGCAGTGTATATGGTGTGAGAATATCACAGAGACAGTTTGTATTCTTCATGGTTGAGAATGTTTTAACATTAGCAATGCAATTGGGATTCCTTCCAACTTCATAGCTCGATGGTTTTTTTAGTTTTTTTTTTTTCTTTTCAAAAAACAAATTCAGATCCAATAACCAATATTCCACTCATCCAGACACTGAATATCATTATTTGAGTATCAAAAGGAAAAGAGAACAAGCAACAGTGCAGCTGGAAATAAACGAACTTTGCCTTTGGGGATTTTATAGCTGCATGATGGACCATAAAAAAATACCTTTGATCGGCACCATGGCCGATATAATCTGCAAAGTTGGTAGGCCAATATAATTTCAAAAATAGTAGGATTCTTCAACCATAGGGAGTATAACATAGAGCAAGTTGTGTTCGTGTTTGTTTTGTTTGGAATTCATGTAAAATATAAAAATTATTATATCAATAAATCAAACATGAAATACATTTATTGTTAAATTCATATATAATTTTTTGTAAAATTTTAAATTATCACTTTCATTTTTTTTTCATAAAGGTTAAAAAGCTAATTTAAGCTCAAAATTTTATTCAAATTGATTTGCAACTGAATTCTAATTAAATTAAATTGATAAACAAAAATTAAAAAATCGAAACATAAAAAAATTCGATTCACAAAATCTAAATCCCAAATAATCTAATTTTAAAAAAATTTAAATCCAAAAAAGCTTGAAATTGATACAATCCAAATTTGTCATAATCCAAATTCGTAATGATGCGAACTCAAGATCAATTCAACTAAAACTCGTAAAAAACCAAATTATAACATGAGAGAACCAAAACTATAATTATATAAATTATTAAATAAATAAATAATCAATATTTTACTTAACTAAAAATTTTTAATTTTAAAAATGTTATTATTGATAATTATTAAATAATTATATCAATAATAATCAACAAAATTAATGTTAAATTTTTTAATTTCAATTATAAAATAAATTTAATATGAAACACACTGAATATTAATATCTAGTAATTTTTAATATTATCATCTTATTATATTTACAACAATTATTAGCGATATATTAATTAATTTAATAACATCTACCATTCAATATTGTAATTAAACATTTGGACAATTGATACATATCCAATTTTATTATATTATGTAAATATTAGTCAAAATAAATTTTTTTAATAATGCTTATTATTTAACTATATGAAATTTAAATACTTTAATTTTTATTAAAATTTGCACGATGGACTAAATAAAATTAATATATATTTTTAAAAATATATTATTTTTAAGATTTTCACATTAACATTTTTTAATATTTTTATTTAATTATATAAAAATAAAATTAATTCTTATTTCGAAATTACAAAATATGTTTATTAACTTATAAAATTTAAATTTTTTTCAAACTTGTTTAAATAATAAACTTATCCAATTCGAATCAAATTAAATTTAAAATAATTTGTATCCGAAATAATCCGAATTTTAAGTTATCTGAACTTAAAATTATCCAAATTCGCAAAAACCCGAATCCAAAAAATTCAAATCTAAGAGATCCGAACCCGAAATAAACCCTAACCCAAAAAATCTGAATCCAAAAATAATTCAATCCTAACCCGTCCAAACCGATCCATTTGGCACCTCTATTTTTTTCGTATTTTTTTATATTGTCACCATGGTGTACTTCAAACTTCCAGATCTAGACCAAATTATGTCAAAATTATAAAGCTGTTACCCTAACCCACTTGATGAGTAAAGGATCAGTAAATGAACCGGCTTGTTAAGGCATTTACAGGAGAATTCCAGCACGACTTACCAAAAAGGTAATAAACAAAGGCATAACAGCTACAAGTCAAAACAAAGATTTACATGAGAATAAGGTGGAGATCAGTTCACTCAAGGTGCTGTGTGCATGAAAGTATCATCATCTAACAGTTTTTCTGGATCTATCAAGTCTTCATCCAAATCTGTTGTTTCTCCTGCATAGCTGAGAACCTTATCAGACATGACCTGCCAAGTTAATTCAAAGAGATAAGTTGTGTCATAATAAAAGAACTCGATTTTCACCGATGATATTAACTCCTAATACTGATACATCCATGAAATACCAAGATCTTGCTTAGCCATTTAACAAAAGCAAGATTTATTTGAAAATTCTAAAGGTCTCTACCAAGATTAGTAAGATTCCATGATCCGTTCAACAAGAACCAGCTGCATGTGAAATCTTGCAAGAAAGGTGTTATATATAAAGTATCCTTACCAAGAGTAACTATTATCAATATATTAGAGATAATATCTCAATTACCTTTGTCACTTGCATCTCAGTGACAACATGCTTCATCCTGCTATATTGATCTCTGCCTGCGGGATTATGGGCCATGGACTTGACTCTGGCAAGTGCCTTCTGTAACCTTTCTTCCGATTGCTTCCTGCCTTTTTTCAGGAAATCATAGTCATCCTCCTTTGAGGGTGCACGTATGCTAGCGCCCTCAGTGAGTGTTTCTCGTTTGAATCCACGTAAACCACTTCCTTTCCGTCTCCAACGCAAGATCAGCTTCTCCAAAATTCCTACTGACCAAACTATCTTCCTATAGTTTTTCCTGACTTGGTGACCTCTTACATGAGCCTTTCAAAAAAAAAAAAAAATGAAAAGAAAAGCTAAAAGTTAGCGTCCAACAATTATGCCTGTCAAGAAAAGTCCTTGTTGGAGAAAGGAGTGTGGGATGACTGAATATAAGGCAAGCATCATGAAAGCTGATAAAATAGGGCAGCAATCGCAATGAACCTGAATCTTGACAATGCGTTGGCGGATTATCAAAAAGTCTTTTCTGCCCTTCCAACCACGAAACTTATTTTGTATGCGAATGGCAGCAGCATGCACACGCTCATCATGTTGTCCAGGCTTGTTTGACTTGACCGCTATAAGTGAAAGAGCACGCTCGTCTGACATTCCAAATTTATCATCTCCATACTCTTTTAACTGCCTTTTTTGAAAGGACTGCACCCTGAAGACTTGATGAATACGAGCAGCAGCTTGAGTGGCATTACGAACAGCAGCTAATGAGTCCTTCAGTGATGGGCCATCTGAAGCATCCTCATAGCTGAGTGGAACTGTGTTATTTTCTAAAATTTTCTGTATTGTATCTGCTCTAGAATCCATGGTATCATTACTGCCTTGGTTATCCAAATTGAGGGATACGAGGTGGGAACTCAAATCAAATTCTGCAAGATAACCGGAAATTCCTTTATGTCCATTGGCTGAGGCCAGGTCAGCAGGTGTTCTGCCTAAAGGATATTCAGGTGTTGGATCTGTTAATGCTCCAGGAGCAGCACCCAGTGAGAGAAGGGAAGCAACTGTGCGTTCTCTGATGTCAAAGACAGTTTCATACCAGCAGAAGCCAGAAGACTAAAATAAGTACATGATTGATAAAATACATAGATAAACTTAAGTAATATAAGTATCAGTGTACCTAAGAAAACTAGCCTAGGGACCATTATTTTTGGAAGCCTATTTGGAACATCTCCTAAAATTTGTTTTGCATACTCCATTTTACTTGATGATTCTTTCCTTTGAATAAATTCACACTTAGAGCAACCCTAAAGCCTAGAATATCCTTCTTTGTATAAAAAAGGTAGATGGGGAAAATAGCCAAAAAGATGAAAAAGACAAGACATGAACATTTTACTTTGATTTTCAAGTTGCTTACCTGCCACAAGATGCTGCCCAATGAAGTGCAGTCCATCCATTCACATCTCGGAAGTTAACACTCACACCGGCAACTATAGTGGGTTCTAAGGCCCAATCATAACCAAGTGCAGCTGCAAAATGAATAACACCTTGACCACCCTCATCCAATATATTAGGGCCTTTTCCACCTTCAGCTACCTTACGCAAGAGCCATACGTGTAACGTCTCTTTCAGCAGCTTCTGAAGCAGCTGCTCCTTCATTTTTTCAGGGAAAATATCTTCCCCTGAGTTAAGCCTCAACATCTGGTCCCATTCCTCAATGTCCTCCTTCAGCAATGAATTAATTTTACAGCTCAACTGGGATATATCAGCTACGTTATAGGTGTTAGAATAGGGAGAAATGGAGCCAAGGCACATTAATCTACCAAATCGAATATCAAGAATTTCATTGGCATTACTGCTAGAGTGATCCACAGTATCTGTATCTTGGATATGACTGACTCGGTATTCAAATTCTCGGATTTCACTACAAGCTAATCTGTTGGAGCATGTGACATAGAAGGGAACCCTGCCAGCCTCATGTCTCGGAGTGTAGCAACGAAGAACACCATCTGCTATGACCTCTGCTGGAACTTCTATTTCCCCAAACATGCATGACCACTTACAATTTTTGGCCTCATCTCTACTCTTCAAGAACCTTCCTGTGACGAGGATCTGCGTGAAATGAAATAATTAGGGGGAAAGAAAAGAATTTGATACATAAGAAAACAAGTAGTTTTTACATGTCACTCCAATGAGGAACTAGTACATCAGTATTTCTGCATCATCAGTGAACAGTTAATATTTCAATGCTCACTTGTTTTGCATGAAAAATTTTTACAGCCTACCTTGATTTCAGAGCCTACATATGCCCAATTTGGAGAAAAATCAATAACGCTAAAAAGCTGATCATGGGAGAGGGAAGGACCCAGCATAAAGGTATCCAATTGCCCCTCAGAAGGAATAGCGGAAAGATCAACCCCATTTTGACCTTCAACCGCATCCCAGTAAGCCCCAGAACTGGTCTGCATATGTGATTCATCTACATCTCCAAGTTCTTTACTCATCCAGCGGTTGAAACTATCAAGCTTCTTCAGACCTTCTTCTGCTAAAGAACCATCAAACAAGTGCTGTATCATAGCAGAAGAGTAAATGGATTTCCCCTCCAGTGTCAAATGGCTCTCTGAATCTGGTTTAGGAACATATCCATGGTTTCCGTTAGAGGGCTCTGTTGGTTGGTTATTTTCTATAGAATGATCATGTCGCTTGTCTTGTTGCACATCGCGAATAACTTTTTCTTCATGAAATCCAGAAGTAAGATCATACCTCAAGTCTGGATGCAAGTTCTGATCCAATGGCCACTTCATTAAATGAGAAGAATCACCCTCAGAAGGCTGTTTACAGGACAAATTAAAGCTTAAAAGTAATTAATTGAAAGTAGAAAAGGTAGCATATACACCAACTGCAGCAATGCAACTACAGCATAACAAACAAGTTATCAGTTTTAAAGGACCTATGTTTGCAATTACAGCTGAAATTACCCTAAGTGCCATTATTAATATTGTCTTTTCTTTAAAATATTGCAATTCAACTCTTAGCCGGTATCAAGCAAGAATATTCAAAGCCATTATTTCAGACAACTATTGCAAAGAAGAATTCATGATTTCAGAAACTACCATTTGCATTTACTAATGGTAAACAAGGTAAATCACTCCATCACCTGCCACTCTTCTTGAGCAAGTGACTGATCCTTGATCTCCTGCTTTTCAAGAAAGGTGTTGTCGAATAGCTGCCCCATGGTATCATGTTGTTTTAAGGAAAATGGTGGCTGATATTGCGCAGATTCAATCCCAGGAGTACAATTTTCCAACACATCCTCCCATGAAGTGAAATCAAGGTTCTTCTGGGGCTCATATGTTATTCCAGCATCATTATACTCTCTATCCTTGTCTGGTTGGGTAAGTTGAAAACCACTGTTGGATGGCTTTCCATGATAATCATCTGTTAGAAGTAAAGACCAGTAGTTAGAAAAAACTGAAAGGGCAGATCAACACTAAAAATGGAATTACACAAAAACAAACACCTAGCATACTTAAATTTGACACAGGAAATGGATCAGAGAATCCAGTATCAATCCTCCCCACAAAAGGCTGTTGTGACTCAAGAAAAGAGTGGAAATGTGAACTTGCTTGATGATTATAGACTGCATTAGATATAATCTTCATTGGTAAGAATAACAAACAGAATATTGCATTCATTATCCACAAGCATATTCAAAATTACACAAAATTAATACCTAATCATTTATTAGAAATTGAGCCTTATTTAGCTAAAAAAACACACCTGATTCGGCGTCTTCATATTCTGATGCCTGCACACTGTTCATGCTCGTTGTATCCGTAGTTTGTGAAGGAATTTGACTATTATTGGGATGCAAACTTGAAGATGTAGAACTTTCCACCTCAGAATTGGATATAATTCCTTCAGTTTCTTGGCGATATGGAATAGTTTCTTCAGTCTCTTTGATGCAGTTAAAATTGGTCCTATTTCCCTGACAAAATTTAAGAAAGTAAAAAGAGAATATTAGAAAAATGACTCTTCATGGGAACTGTTTAAGGAACTTATTGAAACATTACATAATGAGAAAAGGATTTAGTTCGATTAACAATGTAAATGTCAGGTTAAGAAATGTATTTGAAGATGTATAATCTCATTCTATGATGCTAAAGACCTTTAAGGTTTTAGAAGGAATTCAGGATCAATGTTTTAGTATGTGTAGTTGTTCAGATGCTAATGCTCTTTAAAACAAGGCATTACTAGAGAAAACATGAGAAAATATAGGAATTAGCAGCTTTTTATCCCCTCTCATTGCCAGTCTGCTCCTTTAAAAGCAGTTTAAGAAACTGCCTTTTCTTGATTCAGAAGATGAGTGGCAAAAGTGGTATAGAATGGCTAGTCCTAGTACAAAGGGGACAATTTCAACAGCAAATGCAAGATGGTCCAAGTTAATGTCACCAAAAAGACAGTAGAATATGAGAAAGACAAAAAAGAACTACATTCAAGGCAGCGATAGCCACACAGCTCAGATGGAAATAGCTAAGTAAATAAAGGGGAAGAGGGAGGACAAATAGTGGGGATAGCAACAGAGAAAATATAAAGTTTATATGGTTATGCCCAAACAGGATAAGGCTCTATCCAATTGAGCATAGTAAAGAACAAGAGCTAACATTAATTGCCGGCTAATATAAGTGTCACTAACTATAAATATATACTCCTAGATAATTTGAACTCATATATATAAATATATATATATATATAAAGAAAATATAACTATACAATATATGATATCTCACCACTAATACAGTACAAAATAAACTATTTATCCTAGACCAAAGCCAAGGAAAGTTGGGCCGTTAAGAACCAATATGAGAAGAAAATGAGTGTACCTAAGATGAGAATGCCTCGATGGATGTGTGGTAAGACTAGAAGAGATAAAATCAAGAATAAAGAGATTCGAGGACAAGTATGGGTAGTATGAATTGAGGAAAAGATGAGAGAGGGCCGCTTGGGATAGTTTGGACATGTGAAACGTAGGTCTACCCAGGCACCATTTAGGAGATGAGCTTTTGGATTTGGGAGAGACCAAAGCTTCTAATGGTAGACCAGTAAAGATGTTGATGCAAGTAATAAGAAATTATATGAGGGTTAAGGAAGTAGATGAAAAGGTTGTTTTTGATAAAAAAGAGTGGCGCAAGAACATTCAAAACTACAACCTCATATGATTCCTTTTTGGCCTTTCATACAACCAACCCCAAAGTTATGAGATATAAGGCTTAGTTTGTTGTTGTTGTTGTTGTTGATCAACACCAAGAGACTATGTTTTGCTGGTTGAAAATTTGAACGCTCAATGAAAAATGAAGTTAAAATGAATGTAATTGAAAACATCAACTTGTTTTAGGACATCCAAACTCTATCAGTTCAATACATACAAAAGAAAAGACAAGAAAGGTGTCGAGGAATAAAAAGCTGCTACTTCAGTTTACATAAACTTTTTAAAGTCTGTTTTGACTGGGACATAATATTGATAATTCTGCACCCAGACTAACATCAAAACCTAGAGATAAATAGGTTTAAATTTCTAATTATAATCAGCCAAAGAACCTTCAAACAAGTCAAGCCATAAAAAATTATATAGAAACCTTTCATAGTTCTTTCAAGAGATGGATAATCAGAAGCAGGAGAAAAAAAGAAAAAGGTGATAGACTAATATCCGACCTTTACTTCGCGATAGTGGACAAGAACAATGTGTGAGAGATCCCTACACGTAGTAATCATTATGTCAGCAACCAAAGAGGGAGCTAAATAACAAGCCCTTCCTTATATTAGTACTACAACAGAGAAACTAATTACAGTTTCAAGCAAATAGCACGTGCATTTCAAACCAATAAAACATGAACCACATTAACAGAATTGATTGCTGAAATAAGAAATCTCCACCAACTTAACACATTGCTCGTTAAATATTCTAGTACCATAATGCAAAAAACACTATGAAAATACAAGGAACCTTAGGTTTATGTTGCTTTATGTTAACCTTATTGAAAGTTACAGATACAATTTGAATTTTGGGCAAGTTTTCCAAATTTAAGAGCAGAACATTAAAGTGATGAACAGACATCCAAATTTTTTATTTTGAATATAGAAACAATAGATCAAAATTTGTGAATGCATGTAATATAGAACTACCCTAGCAACAGAAAAAGAGAGAAGAAAAGTGCAGAGTATAGGCACTAGAAAAACTAAAAAATTCAATTGTGTGTACAGAATTGCCTCTGTGTATCAGCTTAACTGATATGAAACAAATTAAATCCTAGGTTCAAATTTTAGTAATAGAAAAATTCAAGAGCAAGTGTATAATTTTCAAGAACAAGAAAAAAAAAGTATTGTGTGAATCTTCAAGGTAGGATTCACTGTGAAAATTTTAAAATCTCAGTTTCTTCATCACCAACCTTTAGACAATCAACTCCTTGAACCTCCAAAGTAGAGGAAGATTTTTTTAAAAAATCACATTAACAATTATTTCATTTAGTACAATGAAGTCAGTATAAGAAGAGTAACCAAAACTGAAAAGATTGTCAAAAAAATCTACCACCATTTGGGGCATAAACTTTTAAAGACTCACTCTTCAAGCATCCAATAACTGCGTCTTTGAAAATTTTCGTTTTCTTCTCCATGAGCATAGTAGCAATGCAGAACATCAATGCTTCCAGCCTGAAAAGATTTACATTTGTCCAATGTTTTTTACTAGAGGCACAAAAATTTTCATACAAAATGTGTTCCTTCTTCCCACAAAAGAATTCAAATATATATGAGGAAGTTGCTAGGAGATAGCTGACTGGTATCAAATTTAGAGTGTTTCCTGCTTTCTGAAAAATGGAAAACAAGATGAACCATCATTGATTCTTACCTTGAGTCTCTCATGAGCTTCCTTCACTGTTTTCCCATCCTTTTTCTTTCTCCAGTTATGGCCATCCTTTCTAAAGTATCTCAGTACCTTTCGATCAAAAAGAAAAATTGAACCACCTGAAAGTAGAAACATATCTTAAGTTTGGAAAATTCAATTTGGTATGCTAGCACATGTTCATTATGCACTTCAAAACAACCATCAATTACTAGTATAAACGTATTATGCTCATTATTGGAGAAGATTGTGAATCTAACCCAAATAAGTAATCTTACAAAAAAAATATGCAGACAAACCCTAGACATTACGTGACTTTGTTAACCATAATCAACAAATTATCAATCAAAGAAGAGGCCAAATTAATACCAAAATAAAAAATAAAAAAAAAATCAGACATCAGTAGATTTTAGGAACAAATAAACCATTGAAATTTAGAGGTTAAAGTAGTAATGTAATTTTATCGCATTTAAAAAGAGAAGAACAGCATTATGAGAAATACTGAGAAATAACAAATTAACAATCCTTATTCAAAATAAATTTAGCTATAGTATTGACAGCATAAATGGTTTTATATTTGAAGCACAATCCAAATGCCAGTTACTTTGCCTAAGAAACAGATTAAAAGATTTGGAGGATTCAAGACAGCACATCCTCAAGGAATTTTTCATAAAAGAAAACTGCAATCTCACAAGTCAAAGGTATCTCTAGAAATGCGAACTGAACCCATATGATGATATATACTAGATTGCAGAAGGAAGAGAACTCCAGAATCAAAAGAGCAAACTTTTTTATATTATCAAGATAATTATCAATCTATCATCATCTAACAGTATGAACAATCATAATGCAATTAAAAGATCATACTTGGCGGCATATGTGCAGGTTCTGGAGCAATGCTAAATTTCTTATAATTTTTAAGAATTTCACATATTTCAGCAGGCCGTAGCCACCTGTGCTGCGCTTCCGCGAGTATCTGCTTAATATCTGCACCAAACAAGACCAGAGCTCATTAAAATCTATGCATATAACTTAAAATCAACAAGTAAAAACCAACAAATTACTCAAACCCTCACATTAACTTCATAATAAAAAGCTTCCTAGTGTCAAGATAATGCAAGTTTTCTATACAGAAATGTCAACACAGTTTCATTTCCTTTTCAATTTTGACCCAAAGTGTCTTCCTTTTCAACAAAAATTAAAACCCATTTTGCTTAAATATTTTTTTCCTGCATAAAAGGAGCCAAATTAAGCTATTTTCTTCTATCTATCAAATCAAATCTTTCAAAAGAAAATGAAATTAAAACCTATCTCATAAACCAAATATTATAAGCAAAAGAGGACAAACTGAACAGCAAATTCCAGTAAATTAAATCATAAAAAAGAAAACATTGGAAAAAAATAAAAGCAAAATTCGAACTTTCACTAGAAACCCAAATTGAAAAAAACGTAAAAGAAGATAGAAGAACCAATTATACACATACCCAGTTGATTACTGAGGCCATAACGCCTAGTCTCTGCCATAATCTTTACTTGTTCTTTTCTCTTCAACTCTCTTTCTGAGCCCAAAAAAAGCCTTAAAAAAAGCTCCTTTATAAGAGCTGAAGTTGGAAGTATTTTACGAACCGTTAAAGCAAAAAAAAAAAAAGAAAAAAAAAGGGAAAAAACGCGGTTTTTTGAGAAAAGAGAAAGTGGGTCATAAAAGGGAGACGGAGAATTTCCAAATATGGAAAGTTTATAGTCTAAATTATATATTTTTAAAAGAGAAAGAGAGAGGAAATCCCGACGAAATGGAAGTGGGATTATCAGCGAGGATCAACGTGTTAGACTTTCAGGTCAACCGGTCCACTTCTTGACGTGAGCTCCGGGTTACGATTTTTTCTTTTTTTTTTTTACTGATTAAAAAAAAAGTTCTCGTAGAAGAATTTTGGTTTTAATACTTCTGAAAATTATTATATAAAATAATATTTTTATTCAATACATCAAAAATTATAAAATTATCCATTTTTAGATTTAATACAGAATTAATTATTGTAAATAATATATTAATTAATCAGAAAAAGTGTATGACCAGAAAATAATCTTAAAAGGTAACACAAGAACATTCATCAGTAAAATTTTATTTAAAATATTTATCTTATTTATAAAAATTAATCAAGCTGTAAATTAAATAAAAATATTCCTAACACATATCTGCAAAAACAAAAATAATATACTAGCAAAATGGAAGTTGAAAGATAAAAGTTTTTATTTGAATTAAATTTTTAAAATTCTATTAACATATTATACAATTATTAATATTAAATAAAAAGTTTAACTTGGATTTTTTGTATGAAATTTTTTTATTTATGTATATTAAAAAATCACGTGTTTATTACTTATTTCCACATTATTGTTTTTAATACAATTTGTTGCACTACAAATAAAGCCAAAACACTAAACATGACCAGACAAAAATTGCAAGGGTTACAATTAAAGAGTTTATTGCATTGCAAGTTGTTTAAATTGATTACTAATTAGTGTTTTAGTCAAGTAAATGTACGAGATTTTTATATTTATAATAATATTTAATTTAATTCATTAAAAATTTAGATAAAATTTTTGTAAGTTCAAATTTTTGTTTTTGTTATTAAATATTTGTATTTTTTTTTTTTTCATTAACTTTATATATTTAATGTTAAAATCTTTGATTTGATTTTTAATTTCATAAATTGAAAGTATAAAAATTTCAAAATAAAAAATACAATTTATCAACAAAATTTTTAAATAATTTTTTTATCTCCATCTTAATTTAGAAAAATATATTAGTAAGTATTTAAGACATTTAAATTTTTAATTAAATTCATTTCATAAATTTATTATTTAATTAGTAAAAAAGATAAATTTATTATATAAAAAAATTTACATAAAATCCAAATATAGTAAGTATTTGTAGATCTCATAAAATTATAAAAAAAAAACTAATAATAATAAAAGAATGGACAAATTTAAAATTAAAGATGAAAAAATTATTTAAGAAGTTGAATCAATTTATCAGATTTTAAATCATTTCTCAATATCCTAAATAATTTATCTTCTCCATACATACATACATACACCCATAATTAGAAAGCTTCATTCATTAAAAAAAATTTGATAAAACACTTCCAATTTAAAAATTTTATCACTATAGTAAAATAAAGTTTAGAGTATGAACAATAATGCTAATATATATTAACAAAAAATTACATCAAAATCAAGAAATGAAAATCTTTTTAAAAAATAAATCACATTCTTTAAAGAAATGAAAAAAATGCTTATTCTTTCTTTTTTTTTTCCTGAAAATATCTATTATTTATTCTTATTAATCATATAAATTATTGTAAAAAGAAAATAAGAATAGAAAATTTTAAGAGAGAAAAAAGAATTTAAAAAAAGAAATATAAATAAAAAAATACTTTTAGATGAAGAATTTGAAGAAATCTGAAATGAAAGGAGCAAAGAAAATTTTTTTGAATGGAATAGAACAGCAAAAATTTATTATGCTTTTAATTCTATATCAAATATTTTAAAATATAAATAATTGAACATGTTTTATTCATTTATTTAAATAGATGTTTTTATTGCTTATTTAAATGAAATTTTAAAAAATGCATTAAAATGGATATTTTCAAATCTTTAAATCAAAATCTTTTAATTGTAATTCATGTATGCTTTTATCAATTTAAATAAATTTGAATATTTTAAATGGATTTGAATAATATTAAATAAAATAAAAAATATATATATATATTCTTTTATACATTTTTAAATTAATATTTGAATATTTTTTATTACTTAATGATTTAATTTAAAATTTTTTTAATTTGATTATTTTTATAATTTATAATATAATTATTTATTATTATTTTATGTATCATTAAAAAAATTATTTCTTAAGTATTTATATAAACAATTTTTATGTATGTTGTAATATAATATTATATATGATATAATATATGATATATAATGAGATAAATTTTTTTTTTATCCATTTTAAAAGATTTTAATCCAAAATTTAAAAATCCATTTGTGTTATGATTAAAATTAAGGATGCACGGCAAAAAATTTAGAATTTAAAATTTCAAATATTCAATTACACCTTCTAAACCTCAAATTAATAGTAAAGTATAGATGTTTTACTTGATTTATTTTTATTATTGTATATTAAATAAAAATTTGTGTCAGAAACTGTTTTATAATTTGAAAAAGAAAAAGAAAAAAAAACAAAAAGATTAATGCGATTACGAATGATAAGACGTCGGTAGGATAGAAGGTATAGGATGGAATCGAATCGAACCTAGCGGTAAGTTGTTGATCCTTAGAATGCCAAACCAAAGACGAAGCAGGCAAGGCTTTTTCCTTTTTTGTAGTCGGGGAAAGAATCTCGGGGTTGATGCTGAACCAATTCTTCCATTCCAGAGCCCAGAGGAAGCGGAAATAACATTCCATGCTGCGAGCGATAGCCTGCCCGATCCGACCTTGACCCATATGGTACTGAAACTAGATTCCAAGTAGAAGGTATGGAAGTAGATGTAGGGGATGCAAGAGAACTCCCGCTGGCAGGAAGAGACCTGGATGCCCTTATGACAAGACTAGCCCTCTCCAAAACAGAAAAAGAAAGGAGATCTTCTTCCTCAAAGAAAAGCTTCGATTCGGTGGAATAAAAATAAAATAGAAATTAGCTTTTGAAGAGATGGCTGAGTGGATAGTTTTATATAATTCATCATGGTATTAAGTTATTTGTACGAATTCCCATGTTATCTGCCTGTTCCCTCGTTAGCCTTTTGGAGCTATGAATCTTATATTTTCGATTCAGGTTTCTTGTGGTTCACTCTTGCAGTAAAGAGATGTAGAAATATCAATTTGGGGAATTTGCATGGACATACACACATGATTCTCTCTTATGTATTCGCTGTAGCCAACATGTTTGAAGGCATGTTCTTATACCATGTGATCTAAAAGTAGGTTTTACAAATAAAAGTTATTTTCGTAATAATCCAAAGTGATTGAACTCAAAATAGGAGTAAGTGTGAACAAAATCATGTCAAGTCAATTGAATTTTACAAATAACTACTAGAAACAAGAATGGCTATTGTCCATCTATTGTTTTGTAAAATGGTAAAGGTAACTTTGAAGTTGACTTCAGAATTTTTTTATTTCATGAAATAAAACTCCACCGTTAGCCTGATCAATCCCAATAGTTCCCTCGGATGTTTTAGTCAAGCAAATAAAATGTCTATGCCGGCTCCACCTTTAGAACTATCTTCATGAACTCGTAAACAAAGTAGCTTATAGCAGCTGATGGTAAGACCTGTAGTGTGACGAAATGGATTAAGTTACAAAATAAAGAAACTTGAAACAACAAATTGCTGCAATCCTATATTATTTCAAGATCATACAAGAACTTGACAAACAAACATTAAGTAATGAGAAGCTTCTCTTGTAACAAACTGGCATTAAATCAGAAAAAACTCCACCATATGTTAATTTCCTTGTATCATTTTGCAGTTAATTGCATTTAAAAGAAGTTAGGAGCAAATGTGTGGGTCACTAGGCATGTGTGTGTGTGTGTGTGTCACGGGCCGAGACTCAACTTTTAAGCTCGTGCGGCTCCAAGAGTTGGGAGTGGATTCATCTGGCGTCTCAGATCAATTTAACTGTCACGGTTCACACCTTTTAAGGTATTGTCTGCTTCGGCCCCGACCTCACGATTTTGTCTCACAAAAAACACCTCACAAGGAGAAGGTGGTGTGAAACTTTATATCCCATGACCAACTCTAGTACTCAGTTGATGTGAGATTCATGACTCCTCCTCAGGCCGTGACATGTGTGTGTGTATGCGTTAGTTTAATATACAAAGAATGTACATGTGAACCTTGGACTTAGCCTAAATGGTTCATTCACCTCTCTTAGAAAGTGGATTCTAGCAAGGCTGAGGTTTGATTCTAAGCATTTGCAAATTCCCCTTCCCTAATTCCCCTTAGCATTTGCAAATTCCCCTTCCCTAATTCCCGTTAGGCATTGGCCTCCTTTATACCAAAAAAAAAAAAAAATGTACATGTATTAATGCTAAGACAGGCATCCATGGCCCAGAGCCCTAAACATTAGTAATGAAAATTATTACAAAATCCTTCCTACTTTTGTTTTAATTCTACCTCCTCTTCCAACTACTCTAGCTACCAGAACGCCAAAAAGTTGGCTACTTGTTTTGAGATCCCATAGGCCCAACTAAAACTCAAGCAGTGAGGCTTGCATTTTCTTTGACGTGTCATATGTATCTCAACAACTGATTCATGCAAAATCAGTAGTAAACTGTCCGTTAATATACTTCAAAATGGTTCTTTAAAGTTTAGTTAGCTAGCATCTCTATAACAATTTCTACCTCTGGAAAGAAATTCAAATCAATCAGATACCATGCAGTCCAAGTTTTAGTCAAGTCGAAACAATTTAAATTTGGTAATTATAAATATTGCACTCACTACTTATATAATTAGGGCAACTAATTAGTCAAATAGATATAAAAAATTCATAAAATAGAGGCATAAATAGTCCATTTACTAGACAGATTTATTTAGTACCTGCAGTAAGCGAGGAAGTAATCCTGCATAAAGAGCAGAAATTCCACCTTGCTCAACTATCTTGACACACGTTGCCAGTGCACTTAACTTTGTCGCACGGACTTGCATTTGAAGATGCCTCCTCACAACTTCAAATGGATATGTAGCAGCTTCAGAACATGCGCCGGCAATTGCCCCGTATAGTAATGTTCTAATAGGACCCAACTCTAATTGTTCAAGTGCATTCAGTTCCTGATCACCTTGTTTCATGTCTTGTACTCTTTTTCTTCCTTCAGATGAATGAAGATAGCCTGACTTCAATATATCATAGACACCATAGAAGACTGCACCTGAAGGTGCCATGCTTATAATTGAGGGCACAAGTCCCTTGTAAAGAGAAAAGAAGCCTTCAGTCTGAATCATGTGACAAGAAGCACCAATCAAACCACCCAACGCTTCCCCGCCAGGTGCTACCATTACAGTCCTTATCTGCAATTAGCATGTACAGTGTGATTTAGTGATGATTTTAACCAGAGAGCAACCAAATACCATAATCAAGAAACAATTATTAACAGCACAACCTATATTGACAAATGAAAATTACTCCAGCAGAGTTACTATTCAAATAGTAATCCTAATAGTAACCAAATGTATTGGGAAAGAGGTGTAAAAAGGGTAGACCATTGACTTTGTCCACAACATGTGGGCTAAGTATAACTGAATGGAATTCTCAAGAAAGCATAGTCTTTGAATTTGGAAGAATCTAATACAACAACTGAAGAAATGCAACAGGAAGCAATTAATTTCATCTGGCTAGTGTTAGGCAAATAGTGTTCACAAAACTAAATTCCAACTGACTTGCATCCATACCAAAACTTTGTGTAGAAATTGGTTATGAAATTAAAGCCAGCAAAGTCATAATATGAAGCATTAATACACAATAACAAAGTACATGGACTTCTTTAAAAGTGTAGGGCAGACATGAAGGAAATATCTCAACCTATGATTTCCATTAGACATCAAAACATCCAAACACCATAATCCCAATCCATATCAGACAATATTAAGCATAACTTGGACAGAAATTACATGTTTCAGTTTCAGACACCGAATTATTGCATTATTATAAATGTTTTGATGAACATAAGAGGCAGCTTAATAATGGAACCATGTGATCAAAAGTAAATACAACAGCATTTAAGCCAAAAAGATTGAAGAGGTGGGAGCCATCAAGAGGAGGATCATCCCTTTTACGTACACTACATATAAGGGCAAGCAAAGTAAACTCACTGAAGTATGCTATTCCCAGTCCCATCCTTGCTTCTCATCAGATCATGCAGCCAAATCTAAAAACATATACTAAGAATACTTTAAAACAAGAAGATATCAAATTCCACAAAATCCCCTGCACCCCAACCAGGCCACACACATTACACAAAAATGAAAGGCTAACATGTAACCAAATTTGTGAAGTCTTAAACTTTACATACAGTGTCCATTGGTAAGCAAAGCAAAGCAGCAGTAATCCCAGCTGCAGCACCAGCAAGAAACCTCTGAAAATTCGTGGCTTCCTTTTTTCCAGATAATTTCAACAGTTGACTTCTATAAGTATCATAAGCATAGAAATTGATAGCCTTAAAAGGAGCAGTGCGAAGAATATTGATAAAATTCCCTTTCCAAAAACCCTTCAACCCTTCTATGGCTGCAATCGATTTAATTAGTTCAATAAGGTTTTTTGTTTCACCACGAACTAGGTACTCCAACTTCAATCTCTCTAGGGGAGCAATGAAAGTCCTGTCACAAAACCAAACAGCTATTTGAGCTATGAAATGTGTTAAATTTGCACCTACGGGTAATATATTAAGTAAATGAACATAATCTTTAAAGGATTACCAGATTATCAACTCATTTTCTTCTAAACATTCTGCCACATTATTAATAACTTGCATTCCTTCCCAATTCCAGCTCTCATGCTTATCAAGCTGTTCTATAATTTCAGCACTTATAATTCAGGGTTCTGGCCCTATTCAGTTCTTAAAATTTTCAGACTTTGCCAAACAGCACCAACAAAAAGTGGAGCTTTACCATCAAATTTTTGTCATTTAATGTTCCATCTGATATAAAAGTTATAACCAAGACACAAACAAATTTTCATCGTTTTCTTTCCTATCCACGTTTTCCCAACCACTTTTCACAGAACAAAATTGAACTTATTCATAACCCACAAATATAAATAAATAAATAAAAAGTATAGGGTAAAAAGTTAGCCAAAACCTTGAAACCATAGCAGCAACAGCACCAGCCCACAGATGTTTAGTGGTATTCAAAGCACCTGATTCCTTCTTCACTCTAACCTTCTCTTTCTCCTCTTCCACCACTTCCTCTTCTTCCAGATTCTTACACCCATTTTGCCCCCAATTTTCTCCTGATTCTCCAACATACCCTTCCTCCCTCGACAAACTCACCGACAAAAACCAACCCCCTTTGGCACCACCTCTCCTCGACTTCACAGAACGCAACGTTTTACTACTCTTCCCATCACCCAAAAAACACGAAACCAAACACAAATTGTCATTTTTATTAGCCAAACATTTGTGGGTCTTTATTGAAATGAATGAAACGACCGAGGAAGGCAGTGTTTGGTCGTTGAGAAACAAGCCACCGAATAAAAATGGCCCATCAGGATTCAACTGTTGTGAAGCCCTGATCGAGTCAACGAACAAGCAGCGATCTGCGCCGTACATTGCACCCAAAAAAATTTTGCAAGGTTTGGAAGGAAATCAAATCAAGGAAGAGAAAGTAACGAAGTGAGTTTAAAGAGGCGAGTGAGAGAGGCGTGAAGAAGAAGAGGGAATGGAATAAATGATAAGATAGTGAGGAGTAGTGTGGAGAAAGATGCTGGCGATAATTCTCCGACATGGCCTTCCATAACCGAGGCTGGCATTTACTTTGCTTTCATCGAGTTTTGGACTTCTTTCTTTCTTGGTTTTATGGAGTTGTTTGTTACCAGGGTCTCCTTTTTTCTTCCTTTTTTTTTTCCTTGTTGAGTTTAGGACCGCGTACGAGGTCAAATGATTTTCCAGCTTGTTGAAAGTGAAATGGAACTAGCATGTGACAGTGACTCATGATATTGTTCCAATAAAACCAATATAGTTAACATCATATATATATATATATATATATATAATATGAAATATACGATGTTTGTTCATCCAAGAAGAAAGGCTTCTATTTTCGTTTCCTATTATGATATTTGTTCATCCAAGTAGTGGTATGGGCAATTGGGAAGGGCATAAAACAATTCAAAGGATCAAAACATAGAAAGAATCATGCTTTCAGCAACTGTGCAACTGGTTCATGGACTACAGTATCTTTCCAAACCCTATTGCAAAGCTGAAATGCCCTATATTATTTTGTGGGCATTTTTTAATCTTACATTATTATAATCATTATTTTAAAGTTTTAGTTTATTCTCAACTCTTTCAATCAATAACTTCATATAATATTTATTAATATATTCTTACTCTTTTAATCAAATCAAGCCCCGATGAACAGCATAATTTTTTCATAGGATAAATTTCATTTAGGTTCTTAAATTTTAAATATAATTTAATTTAAGTTCATTAATTTAAAAAATAAACACTTCATCTTAATTTTTTTAATTAATAGGATAATGAGATTTTTTTATTTATTCTTTCTTAATTATTTTGTTAAAAGTCTCATTAAAAGATCATTTTAGTTTTTAAAAATCAATATCTCTAAATATTCACATAAAGTAATGATTTATATAAATAAAATTTTTTATTTTTTCTTAAAATATATAAAATATATTAATAATATATAAAAAAAATTTAGCTACAATATGTAAAAAAAATCACAATTATAAATAAGCTAATATATAAAATATTTATAATAAAATGAAATATTGAACATGTAACAATTTTTCTACATGAAACAAATTTTAAAAAAAATGAACATGCAACATATAATAAGAAAAAATATTTTGTTGAAAAAAAAATTTTTTTGGCTAAAATTTTTACATGCTTAATGTATTCATTTTGTTATACATATTTATAATTATAAGTTTTGCTTTTATGTGTTGCATTTAAAAAAAATTATATTATTAATATATTTTATGTATCTTGAGATAAAAAATTTATTATTATAAAATATTATATTATGTAAGTATTTAAAGATATTGATTTTTAAAGAGTAAAATAATCTTTTAATAAAATTTTTGATGAAATAATTAATAAATAATTGATAAAAGAACTCCGTTGTCCTATTAATTAAAATTTTGAGGTAAAACATTTATTTTTTAAATTAATAGATTTGAGTTAAATTATATTTAAAATTTAAAGATCTAGATAAAATTTATCCTTTTTTTTTTATAGCATTTCCCCTTATGTTATTGCTAGTACAAGCTCCATGAAGATTTGATAGATGGTAACGATGGAATTCAGTCTCAAGAAAGTTGGGTTTGAGGGTTTTAGGTGCTGGCAATATTAAGAAAGAATTGACTTTGCTTATCGCAATGTGCCAAACCAAAATATTAATTCATCAAAGTCGAAAAATACCTGAGGTTGTCCCAGGTCGACGCAGCAGCATAGCAAGCTCAAACTGATCACGTAACGTATAACCCGGCCCATGTCAGGTTTTCAAAAGGCAGTTGGGAATGAAAATTTTTACCCTTCATTTCATTTTTTCGGTATATGTGAAAGTTCATTACATTTGAACTATACATAAGGAGAAATAACTCCTCTCTTTTTATTTTTCAAAATTCAAACTTTAAAATTTCAACTTAAAGTCTGAAATTTCAAGTTTGTCGTATCTCTTAAAATTCTTTTTTTTTATATATATAAAAAATTACAATTTAAAAAAAAAATCATATGTTTGAATTAAAAGTTCACATGGATTAAAATTCTATTTTTTAACGCAAAATGTAATAAGTTACTTGCAAACCTCTTTGTTTCTTAATTTAACTTCTTTATACAACAATAATTTTCTATAAATATCATTTGTAATATTTTTTTTAAAATTTGTTCAAGAGTTAGACTATTCCACCCAACTTGAAGATCTATTCAAATTTTAAGAAGATTTGGATAAAATATTAAAACTATTAAACCGGATTTATGTATAATTTTTAAATCCGTTTAAATATCGGATTAAGTTTTAAACATAACATTTAAAGCCTGAGCCCAGCTCAATCCTACCCGAATTCAAATATATATAAATTTTTTATTTATATACATATATACATGAATTATAATTCTCATATATATAAAAATTAAAATTAAAAATTATATATATTTTTACTAAACTTAATTTTAATTTTTAATTTTTGCATATATAATTTTTATTTTTAATTTTTACATATAAGTGAATTAAATATAATTTTATTAAACTTAATTTAATTATTTTTTTATTATATAAATAATTTAATGGGTGGATTTATGATTTTTTTTTAATTTGAGTCAAATTTTAAACAATTTTGAGTTTTAAAATTTTAGATTAAATCAAATCTAAACAAGTATATAAATTATTAATATCAATAATGAATTCAGCCCACGAACACTTCTACTTTTTCTCCTCAAAAAATTAGTGTCAATGAAATGTTCTCCAATGGCCCTTGCCATGTAATAATGTGCTACCATTGTTTGCTTATAATTGAAAGCTCTTCCTTTTCAAGCTCTAATATTAGACAACTTATTATTACATAGCATTTCTCCTTGTGTTCTTAAAAGTACAAATTCGAGCAGGATTTGATAAATGTAAAGATGCAAATCTAAATCTGAAGCAAGCTGGGTTTTAAATGGTATCAAAGTTAGGTAAGAATTGAATTTCCTAGAACCCCACTTACCAAAAGGAAAAAGAACATGAAAATACACCTATGTAAAAGTACAAAACATGTAATCCCAAAGGCATAAATGTTGAACATGGACCCACCAAAAGTTATTTTTAAGGTATTGCAAATTCTTGTTAGAAATTTTAAGTGAATTCTTATTAATTAATGATTTTATAATTTAATAAAATAGGTTGATAGATTTAATTTTAATATAAGATAAGTATAAGAGTTCAAATGATTAATTGTGATCACTTACATGTGAGTTTTGTATATTTTATTAGGTTGGTATGATTTAGTTGTTGTGTAAACTTTTAACTCGATAAATCTTTGATGAAAATATTTCTAAGGTTTTAATAAAAATTAGTTAAAGTTCACTCTTCACTTCTAATTAATAGTATTTACTTATTGAGAATTGTTTGTAAGAGAAGAGTAAAGATGAAAATCTAATTTCTTCGGAAATTGATGTTGTTTTCGTTTATTATCTATAATTATCCAAATAACCATGCAATATGATTAAAAATTTAGTGTTTTAATATTCATATATGACTCTTGAGATTTAAGATTGTACTTATATATAGTATTAGAGCTTAATTATATGATATTATGATTCAAAGTTATGTTTTTAAATTTTAATTTCATATGAAATTAAGTTTTTGGATGAAATTTTGTATTTAACATAATCCTACTTTTGGATTTTCTTTTCTTAAAATTGAATTGTGACTTTTGTTCTTATCTGCGACATGATAGAAACCATGTATGGAATGTTTATTAATTCATTTTATAGAAAAAAAATTGGGTTTTAAAGATTTGGGTTCAAAATTTAAACAAAATTCAAGATTTAATTAAAACATTAATGTTTTATATGTTTTAATTGAAATTGGTTATTGGATATTGTTATTCATGTGTTTTAAAATTGAAACATGTGTTTTAAAATTCGTATATTTATATTATGTTTGACAATTCTGCAATTAAATTTGATAATTAATATATTTGTATTATATAAAATATTAAAATTTATATATTCATGTTATATTTTACATAAAAATTATGTTTCATAATTCATATCGATATAAAAACATAAAATATATTTATTTATTTTATTAAATCTATATAATTATTATTAAAATTTTAAACTATGTTACTTTTATTTTTTTTCTTATCATATTATTATATTATATTTTAAATTATCAAATTTCTTAGCAGCAAATTACTAATAAAACTAGAACCTAAGGTTAAATTTGATTCAGACAACCAGGCATATCTCCCCCAATTAAGATTTGCTGATTTCACATCTTGCCCTTCACAATCCACCGAAATCTTAAATCTCCCAATCGTTTTACACCTTTTTTATTTTTATGTCTCATCCATGTTATTCCTCCATACTGTAATGTCGAGTTGCTATGTAATATGAACCCAAAGAACAAGACTTTGCATTTGCATGATTGCTGGGATTGTAAATTATGGCTATCAAAATGTCTATCCATAGTTTTGATTGACACTTACCCCTATTTATTTTTATTTTGGGTGATACTACTCCTTTTTATTTTTTGCATTTAAATGTGAATTTTGAAATAACTTAATAGTTTTTTTTTCTCATTTAACTTAATTGGTATATAAATGATATTGTTAAAAATTTTGTTTATGGATCATATGATTTGTTGATAAAGTATTATATTTTTAATTTTAGTGATAAATTCAAATCTTGAAAGTTAAAAAAAAAATTATCTTCTATTAGGAAAGTTTGTGTTTGTTAAAATTTTTATTCCTAGATACAAAATATTAGTGATGGATTAAGATTTTGAAATGTGCTGAACTGGCAATATATTTTACAGTTAGTAGTATTATAGTACATAAGGGTGGTCGGTTGGTGGCATGGGGCATTGTTTTTTTATTTTTCTAACATATATCTAGAGATGGTATTCAGTAGGGTTGGCAGTTTAACATAGAATTGACGGTTTCGATTCTATAAAATTAATATATTTTTTTTAAAATCAAAATTTGAGTCGAATCAGATATTAATAAAGTGAAAATCGAATTTGAATTTTAAACAAATTCGATTCGACTTGATATTATATAAAAAATTATTTTTTTAATTTTTAATTTATATATTTATATTTTAAAAAAATAATATTTTATTAATTTCGCATCGAATCGAATACGATTTATATAATGTCAAATTTAGATAAAAAAATTAAAAAAATTTTGGATCAGATACAAATACGAATTTATGATTATAAAATCAAATCAAATTTAAAATGAATAAAAATCTGTCTCGACCCGATCTGTTACCATCCCTAATATTAAGAGCTTTAGCTTAAAAAAAGTTTCATGCAAAATATTATTGTCCAACTTTTTTTTTATTTAATATTATTAAAAATTTTTTCAAAAAAACTTATTAAAATTAGATTAAAAATAATGTATTTTATTAACGAATCACAAAAGAACCATCGATAAATGACAAAAATAATTGTTGAATTATCTTAACTTTGAAGAAATAATATTTTATCTAGATAGGAAGATATACCTTAAATTCTGGATAGAGATCTTAGTTTTTTTTTTTTAAATCTTTAAAGAATATTTTTAAAAAGTTATGATTTTAATCTTACATTATATGAGATTTTTTCTCTTCCAGATATATATTTAAGGATTTTGTTAAACGAGAATAATATTTTTATATTACATGAAATAGTTCAGGTGATACCTTTTGGAAAGTGATACGTAAAAATGTTTAATTATTATATTTAATTGTCTCATTATAAAATCTAAATATATTATTTTAATATAAAATAATATAGTACTATTTATTAAATAAAATTTTATCAATTTAATATATCATAATTTAATTTATGTATTTAATAATAAATTTTTAATTATTTTTTATCCAAATACATATCTCATCTTTTTTACGTTAATCTTGAGATTACAATACTCAACTTGACGGTTAAAAAATATCTATCTTCAACCTGACCGCCTATCTTAAAAAATATCTAATCTTAAAAAAAAAGTTGTCGTTATCGTCGAAGTTGTAATCGCGAGCCTTTTCTGGCCAATCGCCCCAACTCTCCTTCTCCGATGTTATCAATTTAACGTTTTTTTTATCTTCTCTCTCTTGTACTCTATAAGTAAAGGGAATTATAAATTCAGAGCAACTTAGAAAAATTAAATAAATCAAATGCATTTTTGAAATATTCTGAGATTTCTCAAAAAAATTTTCCGTCGCTCATTTTGTTCTGCAATTGCCGCTAAATCGATCGAGGTGAGATTTTTTTTTAAATTACGTTCTGTTATGAAGTTGGAACTGTTTTGGAAATGAAGTTTCTAATTTTGGATTAAGTATAAAGTTTGATTTTTTTTTTTGAACAAAAAAGGTGTCTTTGCTAGATTTGTCGCTTGAAAAAAATGTGGGAGAAAATAATGAACGAATTTTACACTTCAAATTTCTTTCATTTTCTTCTGTTTCTTGGGAAACAAAGGGAATTGCATTTCATTATTATTATTTTTTTCTTCCGAGGCGGTGGAATTTTCTTATAACTGCATATGATTAGCTGAAAATTCATGGCCGTTATGATCTAGCCTATCTTACATTGCTTATATATATATATATATATATATATATATATATAAAAATAAGAATTTCTTTTTTGGTAGCTGCGAAAATGTAGGAAAAGGAAGATAGTTTCCCATCAATTTCTTTCATTTTCTTCAGTTATGTCATCTTTGTAGCATTCTTTATCAGAGTTTGTTTTGCAATGCTTTATTTTAACACATAATTACTTTCAGTTTCGGGGAAAACCATTCTTATCAGTGATGGTGGATGGAAGCAAAAATTTACCAGTCAACATTTCATGCTTTGAGTTGATTAAGCCAAGCTTTGATGAGACCAACCGCCAATGTTCTATCGGTAAGGATATTCTTGTCAGATATGGAATTATTCAACGCCCTCTGTTTGATAAGCATGTTTAATGAATTCCTTCTATTGAAATTTCAGATGTCTTGCCTATTCTAATAGAGGAGACTTCATCTCCAGTAAGAGAAAAATGCAGCTTAAACGCTTCATATGTAAGTTCATTCTTAATCTGCTGCAGTGTTTTTCTTTTGGTACATAAAAATTTAGGTGAGGCGAGGCTGCACCTTTCCAGGGCCAGGGCATACCACTGGCTTCAACGAGTATTTACATTGGATTTATGGATCACCTTGGAGACGGCTAGTAGTGAGAATTGAACTAAAGCCTTAAAAGCAAAGAATTATATTTTTACCAACTCAACCAACTTCCATTGGCTGCTACAGTGTTTTTCTCGTCCATTATAAAACCAATCGAAAGGTCTTGGTCTGAGGGGATTTTTAAAATTGACTTGCTCAATTGAATAATCTGAGATGCAGTTAACCAATCATATCTTTCTTTATAGGAGCCTGCATTGTTGTTAATGGAAATTCAGGCTGTAATTCAATATTAGATTGCTCTAAATTGACGGACATATACCTGCAAAAATGACAGTTTCGTGTTTATATCTCTAGATCCACGTTTAAAACCTGTTTTCAGCTGTGGAACCTTTTGACCATTAATATAAAAGGGCTTGTTTAGTAAATTTGCTACAGCTTGAGAATCAGTTTCTCCTGTAAAAATTAAAGGTAAGTACACTACTTTTTGAAAACCTGCATTTTGACTTCAACTTATGCTCGATCTCCCTGGAATTAGCATGATCTCTTGAAATCCCTCGTTTTCCTCCTCTGTTTTCTTTCAATCTGATTAGTTCATTTCTCTGAGAAGTGAAAATTCGTGTAAAATGGAACTCAGATAAAGTTTTCACAACTGCAGTCCGTTGAGATGACCTCATGTCAGAACATGTGTTGAATACTTCAATTTTAGTCATGTCTCATTAGATTTAATGCTTAAGTTTGAATTCCTTTGCTTGTCTCATAATTTCCTTTTTGAGTTCTAGTTTTGTTATTTTCTAGATTCTATGCTTTCTAAACAATATTTCTGATCCCAATAATCTCTATTTAGAAGCTAATTCTAACTTTTGTTATTTTCTTACAAAGAAATTATTTTAAAATGAAAATTTGGAAATTGATTGAGTTGTTTCTTTCACTATTTTTATGCTCCTATTAATTTCTAATTCCTTTGTGCAGGGCCAGGATGTCTATAGTATTTCTGTGTTGCCAGAGGAAGGAAACAGAAGTCCAAAATCTACACCACAGTTAACTTTTTTGAGCCTCTTAGAAGTTCCTTTTTCATCTAAAAACCAGATGTGTTTGGATGCGCAATTGAGTTGCCAGAGCTGCACGGATTTGAAAGTGGATAGCGAAGATGTTTATTCATCTTGCATTCTGGATATAAACATGGAGAAAGAGACTCCCAACATACTTAAATACAGTGATGAAACTGTTGGAAATTCAAAAATTGAAGGTTTAGTGACAGTAAGTTTGATATACCTATCTATATAGCATGCAACTTTTAGAAAATTTCTCTTCTTTTTAAAGGGCATATTCAGTGAAATGCAGATTATACATATAGTGTGGGATGCGGAATTTAATTATTTAGTCATCAAAGCATTGCTGATTTTCCTTGAGTCTTGGTACACCTTTTCTTCTTTCATTCTTGACGCTAATGTTAGACCTCAATGAATTACAACATTTGCAGAAGGTGTTGCAGAGACAAGCAAGCTTAAATTTAGGTGAGACTTCACTCAGCTTTGAACTGTTAATGGGTTAATTGCATCAAAACTTACTCTGAGAGGTCTGTAAGCATATTCTTTTACCTATATATACTTTTTTGAACAACAATTTCCTAGTGTCCCACATAATCTATGAAATCATTTTCCATAACCATGATTTAGTCGCGATTGCATTATTTTGCATTAGATAAGGCTTGTAGTTTCTTTTAAACAAGAAACAAGAAAACATCCAAAAGAATAGAATATACCGTTAATAATCAAGCTGTTATAAAGCAATTCGGGTTTCTAATATTTCATGCATATCATTTGATTGGGTGGTTCGACATCCTAACTTGCACTTTTAACAAATTGAACGAGATTTATACTATCTCGCAAAAACAGAGGTTCCCATAGTAATCTGTTCACATGGATGCTATTAGAGTTGAAAAACATGTTAATCTTCTTGTAGCCCCTGCCATAGACCTAAACGTTCACCATCGAGAAGTTTAAAGTTGGCAAAAGAACTTTATTTGACATACTTAATTCTAGTGTACTGATAATTGAGAACAATGAATATGCCTGAGGTTGATACTTGACAACTGTATTTGGGAACTGCTACTTCAAAGGGCTTTGAAGACTTCAAAGATCGAAGTCTGTTTAATTATTTATCCTGATCAGTGAACTTTGGTTTAGCTATGTGGTTTTTGTAATTGTTTTTGGAATTGTCTGCTATCTTTTTTCTGTGGTATTTTACTTATCACACCCAGTAACTGTCTAGTTCCTTTTGGTTATGCATGTTGCATGTTTGATTCTTCATTCCATTCGGTACCACCTAGTCATGCCATGCAGAATGTGTTTGCAACTTAAAACTGAGTTTGGTTGGAACAGACAAATCATCGACTGAGAGGGTTCATGATGCACCAACGAACAGATGGAGAAGATACAAACGGGCTACATCATTTGATTCAAGGAAAATAGTCCTCCTTTTCTCGATCTTGTAAGCTCTGGAATTCCTAGTAAACAAGCAGTTTATTTTTGAACACATTTTTCATTAATATTTCCATTTAGTAAGACAAAAGATTTTAATCACTGTTAGCATCTTTAAAATAACCCAATTAATAATAAGCTTGTGCCAAACATCGATCCCATGGTTCTATCTTGTATGTAGACTTGTTGCAAATATGTTTAGTTTATGAAGTCAAAAGTATGATTGCAGTTTTCAACATTAAAATTTTATGGTAGGCAAAGTCATTTATAAAATGCTTAATAAGTAAAATTAGGACATATTTCAAATCTAATGTGATTGAGGAGTGAAAAGAATATATAAATGATGACTATTTGGAACCTGTAGATATCCAAAAATGAGAATATTTAAGAACGAGCCGAAAACTAAGGAGGAAATATTTTGCAGAGAATAAGTAGGTTTGGGATGTTAGGGAGATCAAAACTAGAAAGCATTGATGCTTGACATGGAAATCTAAAATATAATAATTTATAAGTATGTGTTAAGTTCAGTCGAAGCTTAATTTCATTTAGAAAATTTTCTTTAGTTAGTCTGATGAAACTTTATTAGTGAGTAGTTTGTCCATTGTCTACTCGGGATGTTGAACATATTATTAACTCAATGCCATATTGAAATAACTGCTACAATCTGCATATCTATTATTCTATAATACTATCTTAGAGAGTCGATATTTTCATATCCTCATTTTCTTATCTGTTAGATATTGTATAATGGAGGAGTCAGTTGTCCTGTGCAATGGTCAAAGACTTGAATTCTCAAATGCATGGCTTAAAACCAAGAGAGCGACCACTAAGATCATTTTGAGCTATAGTTTTTTTTTTCCCTCGAGGAATAAGATAGCCAACCCTTGCTGCAACCTCCATGATAAAGATTTTACCAAACAATATGCATCTAGTAACTAAATGTATGATTCATCTAGTACCCACCATTGGCTTGAACTCTATTCATCCCCCATCCATCACATAAAGCCCAAATGTCATGCCACCTCTGGTAGCATGGTAGAATCTAAAATTCTACATTGAAATTAGGTTTGCTCCATTTCTTGTTGGCTTATTGGCCCTAATGCGTATTGTATTCGAAAGCAACCATAACATCTTCTAGTACTAACAGTAATCAGAATCAGTGACTTGTTATTTCTTCTTTGGTTCAGGTCAAGTGTGGGGACATTGATATTGATTTATCTGACGCTGAGAGTCAGACAAACTATTGATGGGTCCAATCATGTCTAGCACATCTGCTTTCATCACCTTCCACTTCATGCTTGAGCATGTTTTTCTTGAAATTTCTTGAGAACTAGTGTCTTGAGAACAGCTGCTTCAAGTTTAGCATTTTAATGTCAATATTTTTTTCATCATTTTTTATTTTTGAGTTTCACTGTAAATATGACCAGTGGTTCAGCAATGCAGCATCTCTTATCATTTGCCAAGAGAGTTTACAGAACTGGAGATCGAAAAAATGTGGTTTTAACTTGTGGTTAGACTGTGGCAGTTGACTAGCATAGGCCGGAATTTGCGTTAAAATGGCAAAATCCACGATTTGACTAAATTCTCGTCTTGTCTTGTTCATAGACCTAGAAGGCTCCCAAAAGCAAAAGATGGAATTTGGTTGTGACAAACCGTATTTTCCATCTCCTTCCCACCCAACGCCAGGATTCATATGACAACAACACTGGTCTTCAAGAAAATGGCTGTGAATTGTGTTGGGGCCTATAAATCTTTATGACATCTGGGTGGTGGGGTTGGACTTGGATTTGGATTTGGACATTAAACATTAAAGCCAAAACCCAAAAGGCCAAGATCTACTCAGGCTCCAAACTTTTGAAGTTGGTCCCTCTTTTTTGTATCCAAATTGTGATCTAGAGTACGAAAAAGCGTTCAACCCCTCTGCATTTTATGATTTTAAAATGCAATATTTCCCCCTCAAGGCACATCTTTTTTCGAGGGAGAAAAAAGACCAGATATTATGCAACTTATTCAGAACAATGCCTTCATTTTCGGTATATTTTTTTTATATATAAAAAAATGTAAGATGAAGGGTGCTTTTTCCATCTTAAGGTCAAGAACATCATTAGAAGACCCGTATTAAATTTACAAATCATCCATTTAAAAAGATTGTTGATAGTGAAAATCAAACTTAATCTTTATAAGCAAAGAATTCAATCTTTAACAACTCAACCAATCTGCATTAGCTATTTTCAGTATCATTTGTATAGAATGGATTTTGTAGAAAATTCTCATAAAAGAATCAGCATGAGAGATTAAAGATCCCAATCCCAATCACACAATGAATGGCTATCCTAGAAGGAATTTTCTGAGACAAATAAAACGCTGGTAACAGTTGAACTCTAGTTACTATAATGCATGGAAGAAAGAATAACAGCAGGAGATGTAAAACAATCTACCATAAGGACCAGAAGCATAGACCAGCTTCCTAAAGTATCCAAAATTGGATCATAAACTGAGGAACATTTCCTCTGGAACAATCATTTACCTTGTTTGCCAAATTCACTTGTGTATTTGATGGTTATAGAAAAATGTTTGAACGCTTCCATTTCTCTCTTAAGCTTTAGTAAATACATTTCTCTTAGCACGCACAACCCCCTCCTTGTTGCTCCGTCTTCTGGGATGAATTGACGGTGGGCTTCAAGTTCACATCAACCATGTCTTCCTGTTTTGTTGAAGAAAGAGTTTCCATTCCTGGTAAGGCAGCGGCAATCTTGCGGAATAGAGGCTGCAATTTTCACATTCATAAAAAACTGGAAGTTAACAAAGACGTGTACAACAAAATGACGTCAAAGTAAAAAATAAAATTCATCAATATAAAAACATGATGTGTCAAGCTCGAGCACGCTATAAATGCAGATTAAGATTGACAATAGTTTCCCCCTGTGATAAATTATAGTAGAAAGAAATTTTGTCTCCAAACTGCAGTGACTCTTTGACATACAGATAAGGAAGACTTGGAAATACATTGTTATAACTATCAAATAGTGTTGTTTTTTTCACCTTGATATTGAATCCTGCTTTTGCACTGGTTTCTATAAACATGACTCCAAATTCACGAGCCTTGTTATCTCCTTCCTCTATAGAAACCTGCCTGTTTAATCACCAAACATATAAATGGAAACAATGCTAAGAATTATTCGTACAATGCAGGTAAGACTGTTAATGAAATTCCCTACAATTTCAGTCTTAGACCTAAATGACATATTTATCAATGTGAACAAAAAATAACAAAGTTCTTGTTCATGAAAAATTAAGCGAGTCAAATTTGCTGGCTCTTTTGTCAATTGGAAAGCTAAAATGCAGTCTTTTAATAAGATTTATACTTTACAAATTTGAATAAACCGAAGCAAAGAAGCTCATTGAATTCCATTAATATGGAAAATCAATCCAAAAAATTTAATTTCCAACTCATCACTAACCTTTTATCAACCAGATCAGTCTTGTTCCCAACAAGGACAATAATGACATCACTGCCCCGTTCTGTGCGTACCTCCTCAATCCACTTAGAAGTGTTCAAAAATGATTGCCTATCTGCAAGGAGATAGCCAAGTGAAGATGTAAATAAGTAAGGTTAGCACTAATGCCAATATAATGGTAATGATTATCATGGGAGAGAGTTGTTTAGAAAGCATTATCATAAATCAATCAAGAAAACCTTTCCATTATAGTCTCTCATTTAAAGAACTCAAAAAGAAGAGATGTACTTGGGTTAGCTTATACTCACTAGCTACATCATAGACAATTACTGCAACGGAAGAATCTCTGATATAACTTGGAATAAGACTCCTAAATCTCTCCTGGCCAGCGGTATCCCTGTGAAATTATAAGATAAAACTCAAATGGAGACAAAACAATTGGAAAATTCAAGACTATATGCATAGTGAAAACCAAGAAAATTAGATCAATTGGCAAGTTATGCTATACTCAATTGCCAAACAGACTGCTGAAAAGTGATATCAGAAACCAAGTATGGCAGGCTAAATTGTTAAAAGAAATGACAACCAAGCATATTGATGGCTTTGGCTAGTTTCCTTTAAGAGGATAAAGTAGACAACAGAAATTAATTACGTTTTCTATTTCCAAAAGTTGTAGAATTTTCTAACCAGATGAAGAGGGGATGTTAGGGGATCCTCAACAAGCAAAATTGATTTCTTTTTTCTCGTGAAATGTTCATCACCCACCACTTTAAATTAGCTCCGTCACCGACAACATATTATAACTGCCTTATCGCAAAAGTAAGCTCTTTTTGGAACTAATTTGCAGTCTAAATTATAAGCAATCAAAACAAATGCCTTAAGTTCACAAGAGATGCCTTTCATAGCTTATCTCATTCAACAAATTATAGCAATGACTCTAGAACTCATAAAATAAGCGTTGAACATAGATATCCAAGATCTACATTGTTAAAGAGAGGATAAGAAAGGAAGAAATTATATTACCAAAGCTGCAACCGGACCGTTCGATCTTCAAGATACATTGTTTTTGACAAAAAATCGATTCCAATAGTGGCCTGCAATTGATTTATATGTCATGAGCGAATTCTTTTTCAAAAGCTTTAAAAGTATTCTAAAATCTTTTGGAAGGAAAATTCAATGAATTAGAAATAATTATAGTAGAGCAAAAAAATTCTAAACTAATCATAGAAATGAAAAAAATCAATATCTGTTGAAGTTATTACGCAAACTTGATCATAATTCCTTGTAGGATACAAATCAAGCATTTTTAAACTACGATCATTTCGCTCGAGATCAACAACATAAGCAAAGATGATATTAAATCCGCGATCAATACCTAACGTAGAGATCAACAAATAGAATACGGAAACTAAACCAAATTCAAACAACGTAAGAAACAGAGGAATTTAAGAAACGGTCAAATCTTCATTGAATCTACATGAATCAATGAAAAATTACGTAGAATTGTTTAAAAAAAATTTACCTGGTAAGTGCTGTCGAATTTATCGTACATGAAGCGGGTGATGATGCTGGTTTTGCCAACGGATTGATCGCCCAAGAATACCAGCTTGTATTTCGCCAGAGGGGACACTGTTGCCATTTTTCAATTTCTTCTCCCTTTTTTGCTTGTAAACGAGAGTTTCAGATCTGAATCTAGAAGAAAAAAATTTGAAATTATTGTTGCTATTATTATTTCGATGGAAATGGAAATTTTCAAGAGAGAAGAAAATGAAGGAAAGCTTTGAGTTTAACCCCTTTTTATATAGGGAGCAGGAGAAACCGCCGACTATGACGAGGACGCCTTAGTCAAAATCTTTGAACCGGTTTTTCCTTTCCAATTTTACCCCCTCTTTAATTACAGGATTAAGCCTCTTTCTCATTGAAAACTGGTGAGGTTGAGTTTTTATTCTTCGTTAGTAATTTTAGACATGATTCAATTCAAAAAGAATATAGAAAGTGATATAATTTAAGTTTTAATAAAAAAATTAAAATATATGTCATATTTATCGTATTTATATAAATTATAATATAATAATTTTTATATTTTATATATTTAATATAAAAAAATAACTCGAATTTTTCCTTTGTAGTAACTTTTAGTATTTTAATAATAAGTTTAAATCTTGTATTATTTTGATGTCAAACACTGCGTCAAAATCAAAATCAGATTAAGAAATATTGTTTAGTTTTTCTAAATTCTAGTTAAATGGCTAAGGGAAAGATCCTTCCAACACAAGTCACGCGGCAAATTGCACAATGTTTCAGGCAACCGAGAAGGAATTTAACGTGGTGTTTGCTTTCTTTTCTTCCATCTTTTATGATTTAAGTTACAATCACTGCTTAATGTTGATTTTTCTCCCCTTTATTATAATTAATGTTTAGAAATAGTGTCTGCCTCTCCAGTAAGCCAAGCAATCATCATGAAATAACCCAAGCACACGTGGTTGAGAAATTGACAAATCATAGCCAACGTTCCATTCCTTTGAATTAATCTCTCCATCTATTTCCTTCAACAGTGTCTCCAATTCAAAAAAGAACTCAAGTGAGCAGCCTACCATCCTTCACCGTCTGTCCCTTCCAGCCACAGAGTTACTTCTCACATTTATTCAAACTGCACCCTACTTTTGTTTCATATTCTTCACTCATATAAACAGTATAAGAAGCTCATATCTGCTGGAAGAGCATTACCATGAAGAACTCCGAATGGCTCACAGCCTCTAAGTCCTGGAAGGAGTGATGCCGATGCAACTGATACAGGTGTTATGGTCAACCATGAAGAGTCGGCACATCGAGAAAAGCTATTGACACTCTGATAGGACACAGTCACCAGGCGTGAAACTTACCCTACGAGAGCTAATTAGTGTATGGTCCATCAACTTAATACATTCAGGTTTTATTTTCGGAGCAAGCAAAGATGAGGATGGCAATGCAAGGTAAGGAACCATAACAAGTGAGGATAACACCGAACAAGAGGAACACCTACCATTCACAAACACAGATAAAGAACCTCAAATCAGAACTCGAGAACGTAAAGACAAAGGCAGAACTACAAAATGACTACTCTGATCTGCAACAAGATTATGAAAAGATATGCAGCTGGCACAAGAATCCATCGCGTTGGAGTTTGAATTGGAGAAAAATTAATAACTCTATCCATGTGAAGGCAGAAAATGATAATAATAGAGATGGAAAGCGAAGACTAAATCCAGCTGGCTTCAGACTCAGCTTTAGACGTATGCTATCAGTGTCATAAATCCATTAGCAGTAAGCATCTTGTAACGTCAATGCTCAACCCAACCAATAGCCTCAACAGCACTATGTGCATTATGTTCCGTTTTTTACTAGTCTATTACACAAGGTTTAGAGTGCATGTTATCACTTATCATCATACCATACCTTACCCTATACCCTGCATCTCTCTCTTGCAAAGGAAATATTCAATGTTCATAATGGAAAGAGGAACTGTAATACCAGTCATGTAAATCGCAACGGATCTGCTGTTATTTAGACCATAGCAAATGTTCATGAAGGAAAGGGAAATGTAATCTCCATCATAAAAGTATCAAAACCGCTGTTATTATACCATAGCACATGTTCATAATGGAAAAGGATCTTGATTTAAGCCATACAAATCTCAATCTTAAACACAGTCTTTCTTACTAATACTTTATTACAGCAATACAAGAGGTAGACAACAACTTAGGACTTATAATCGAGCTGCTAGAAATGTGTCTTAACCGAAAAGAAAAATAGCAGGCATTCAATTTCTCAGCTAGAGGATTCTTAGAAGTTTGATCAACAACTATGCTAAACCCCAAAGCATGCTTTTCAATTCCATTTCGGTTAAACAAGTTCCTTAACACTTGAGCCTTGCGCAATAACAACAACAATCACACTAATAACCATGCTCTATCAATCAAACAAAAACTTATATTACAGTAATTCAAATAAGAAAATTGTTAGGCGCATTTGGTGATCACAAGAGTGTAGTGGTCTTTTTCTTTTTTAGAAGCCTTCAACAGGCAACCAAAGGTATTTTTGTTATTTGCACTGACCTAATATGTCAAGTAGGTTTGACATGCTCAATGCCACATCGGCTCAACACACCCTACCTTTTAACACATTTCTTTTTTGTTTTATCATGAATGCCTTGAGGTCAGAGCTTGGCACAAATATTTAGTGCCCCAGGTAAGGGCTTTTTCCATTCATTAGCCAAGTATAAAGCAATGCCACCAAGGAAGAGAACCTCAGAGGAAGAGAGATGGCCGTCCCAGTTGGAATAAAAAGCCATCATAGCCAACATTCCATCCAACCTACCCAACTACAAACGGGACCGACCATGAAACAACTCCAAGCCTTGACTGAACAGATACAAGCTCTCAAGCAGATGTTATAAACCAATACTCTACCACAAGTTTCAAAAGTGCTTGACTTAATCACCTATAGCCGAGGAGCCGTTATCAGACAATTGAGTTATTAAAAGGTGAAAGTTTCCTCTACCTCAAGAGAAGAGGAGCACAACACCCTAGCCCACCATTACCTCAGCCATAATTCAATATGGGCTACGACCTAAGAATCCAAACAAACAAACTCCAAATCCCAACCAAACAAGGATGTAGAAGCTTGGATGTGGGTCATGAAAAAAGAGTTAAAAACAAAAGCAGTGACATTTGAGGATGACCTCAAGCTCTTGGAGACCTTGCCTTTCACCAAAGAAATCAACAAAGCCATGCCTCCCAAAGGGTTCAAAATGTCCACCTTGGAAACCTACAACGGTACTTTTTACCTTTTTGATCATTTGAAATTTTATAAAACTAAAATGATGATGTAAGGGGCAGATGAGACTTTAATGTGTAAAGGCCTAGCTATTACACTGAAAGTTGTAGCTCGATCTTGGTATAGTAGCCTAGAACCGAGGTCAATCACGATGTTTAAGAAGCTCAACCATTTTTTCCTATCCAGGTTTATGAGTAGTCAAAAAGTAGAAAAGATGACTCTAAGTTTGATGACAATCCACTAAGGATGGAATGAAACTTTGAAAAGCTATATCATGCATTTTAACATGGAAGCTCTACAGGTTAAAGACTTGAAACAAACGGTTGCTGTAGCCATCATGACAAGTAGACTCAACAACAAAGAGTATCACCTGGAACCGACATTGTTGCTAAAACCACTTAAAACTTTGGTCGACGTCCTACTGATGGCGATAAATACATAAATACTGAAGCTACAATGAAAACTAACCAAGGTGAAGGAGGTTCATCTTTCTTCATCGATCATAAAAAAAGACAAAGATTTTTACGATCTTTTCCTAAGAGGGAGACAACATACGGCTAGAAGTCCTAGTGGAAAAAGAAGCTATATTGCACTAAATACCTATTGAGAGAGGATTTTGATGCAAATTGAAAGAAATTTTAACCTTAAATGGCTAAAGCCACTAAGACATAATATAAGGAGAGATCTAACCAAAAGATATACCTTTCATAGGGACATAGGCCATAACAATGAAGATTGCATTAACCTGAAAAATGAGATTGAAGCCTTGATAATGAGAAGTCAGCTGAAAAAGTTTATAGAGCAGTGAAGGCTAGCCCACAACATATTATAGACAATACCAAAGAGAGCCCACCCGAGGTAAAGAAGAAAGGGCAAAAAAAAAAAAAAGATCGAAAGATGAGATGAGGTAAAAAAAAGGTTGAACTGATAACAACAAGCTAATTGTTAAAGTGATTAATGTGATTACTGAAGGTAACTCTATCTTGGCCAAAAGAAAATCTAACCCAAGCATGGTCATGGTAGTGAGCACCATGGCAAAGAGAGAAAAAGATTAGAAAGATGAGTTGATTTCATTTAGCTTGAAAGACCTTAAAACAATTCAGCACCCTCACGATGATATTATAGTGATTACGACCATAATGTACAATTATGTAGTCAAAAGAATCGTGTTTAATAATGGAAGCTCGATTGATGTCATGCATTACAGCACCATAAAAAATGATAGGAATTGGTGAAAATCGATTACAGTCGATCACCATAATAATGGTGGGATTTAAAAATAAACAGGTGCCCGTGAAAAAGGTAATCAAACTATCAATTTCCTTAAGGATAGAACCCAGGACAATCACTTCGATCATAGAATTTATGGTGGTGGACATTCCATCGACCTACAACATAATATTGAGCTGACTTAGCCAGTCTGTTAAGTGGCTTATAGGTTCATCTTTTCATCTGAAAGTAAAATTTTTAACACCCAATAAGGTTAGAAAGGTTAAAGGAGACTAGTCCACGGTATGTTAATGTTATGTCACAATAATGAAAAAAAAGATTGGGAAGTAGACTGGTAGTTTAGCCAAGAATTAAAGCATTGGGAAGGGGTAAATTACGAAAGTCAACAAAAAGGTAGAAAGCCACAAGTTAAAACATAAAACATAAGATCGATTGACAAAAGTGTGCACTTAAATCGTTCTAAGCTCTTAAGCTCTAACAAAAATAAAAATTTTGTTTTATTTTAAAACTTTTTTGAAGTAACTCCAAAGGCGACCGAGCTCTTAAGTCAACATGAACAATTACATATCATTCGAATCGAGCTAATAGGTAAGCCAAAATATATTATGAAATGAAAAATACATTTCAATTTCATTACATACATATTTAGCAAGTTACCCATAATATACTGATTATTATGTCGGGATCTATTTTCGTAAGAAATGGTTGATCCAATTGAATAAAAAGAGATAATTGATCAAATGTT